CTGAACAATTCTTATTGGCTGACCATCGTTTTGTCCCACCTCATGCCCACCTTGTGATTTCCCATATCTGCACCCCCCCTCCGCCTTCGACCCACTGTATAAAATCCTTGGAAAAGACAGGTTCCCTAGGCAACCCACTCAGGTCCCCTTCTGCCTCTCTGTCTCTCGGACAGAAGCTTTCTTTCCCTCAATAAATATATTCTGCTCTTAACCTCCATTGTTCCTAAAATTCATTCTTTGATTTTAGAGAACGAACTCGTCCCAGATATCGTCCAGGTTGGGAGTTTTTCTCCCCTATATCAATATCACCATTATGACAATTTGTGATTCTGAATGAAATATCCCATGATTGAGAGTCTACTTCCAATAAAAGGTCGGCTTCATGAACAGAGGACCTTTATCCTGCCTGATACGACAGTCCTAGCATCTAGCCCTCTTTGCTGGCACATAGTAGGTCCTCAAAAAATATCTGTAGAATGAAAAAAAAAAATCTGCAGAATGAATGAAGTGAATCTTATGCCTTCCTCTACCATATGTATGTACCTTTGGCCTTTCGTTTGCCTTCTACTCTTTTCTGTCCCTATTACCCTTTCTTTCTTTCTTTTCTTTCTTTCTTTCTTTCTTTCTTTCTTTCTTTCTTTCTTTCTTTCTTTCTTTTTTCCTGCTTTTTTGAGACAGGGTTTCACTATGCAGTCCAGGCTGACCCTGAACTCACTTTGTAGCCCAGGTGGGCCTTGAGCTCATCGGGAGCCTCCTGCCTCAGCTTCCCAAGTGCTAGGATTACAGGTGTGCACCACCGCACCCAGCTTCCCTTTCATTTTCCTCCCTGTGGTCACTTTTTCTTCCCATTTGCTTCACCTCTTCGCTCTTTTCTCCTAATTCCACTCATTCAACTAACATTTCTGAAAATCGACTTCATTTAAGGAACTAAGTGTCAAAGACATGAAGTAGATGCCCCCCTTTGCACAGACCCTACCATTTCTACCCTGTTTTCTTGTGCTTTATGTCAGGGCTCATGAACTTCCCAGACTGTCCCAGTTGTGACTTGCCACCAAGTTCCTAGAAGAGCCCTAGTGTAAAGTAACTGGGCCTGTCAACCCCCCAGCATGGCCTCACAGTCACCTGATACCGGCTGCTTCTGGTGTGTTGGGAATATGGTTGCACACATGACCGTCACGTAAGCCATGGCAGAGACTTGTCCCACATGGCTGTGGGGCCGGCTGCCTGTGGCTCCTGGCTCTTCTCTCTCTGCCCCCAGACACAACTTTATTGTTTCTACTCTGCCTTGTTTTTTTTTTTGGAGACAGGGTCTCGCTATGCACTTCAGGCTGGCCTTGAGCTCACTTTGTAAGCCAGGCTGGTCTCAAACTTGCAATGATCCTCCTGCCTCAGCCTCCTGAGTGCTGGGATTACAGGCGTGCACCACCCCACCCAGCTTGCATGTGTTGTTTTCTTTTTTTTTTTTTTGAGACAAGGTCTCACTATGCAGTTCGGGCAGGCCTTGAGTTCACTTTGTAGCCCAGGCTGATCACCAACTCTCAACGATCCTCCTGCCTCAGCCTCCCGAGTGCTGGGATTACAAGTGTGTGCCACCACGCCCGGCACATGTTAGTTTCTAGAGAGGAAGACGTAAAATAACTTAGCCCTTCTGGTCCACTATGACTGGATGGGGGTGGTCTTCATAGCTGTACTGGGCCAGGCCAATGGATCTGTCTTTCTTTTTCTCAAGAATATGAATTAGAAAACATAAGAAAACTATTATTATTGGATGTGGACTTATACAAGTGTATTGAATTGGGATTGATAATTGGGTTGGGTCCTGGGCATACATTGAGAATGCTGAGAGAGAGAGAGAGAGAGAGAGAGAGGGTGGAATCAGTCATTAAGACAAGCAAAGAGGACAGAGCCATGGTGCCCCCAAAGGCTGAAGAAATTGCTTTGGTCCTGAGCAGCTTCCCACAGCCAGTGTCACAAAGCCTGGCTTGCCTGATTCACACGGTCACAGGTGTCCCCAGACTCTTGTATCTGCCCTCCCTTAGCGGGTCTAAACAGAATTTGGATCCCTGAAACCTAAGCACACTCATGCCAGTACATCTTCCTAGAGAGGGTCCTCTTTGGGGTCTTGTCAGATGTACCCCTCCTCTAGAACTCTGATCTTGGCTCAACGTCACTGTCAAAATGTGAGCTCAGACCATCGTCAGCCTGGATGAAGCCGCCTGCCTTCTCTGTTCCCGTCTCCAGTCGGTCTACAGCCTAGCGTTGCAACTCTACACCCACAGGCATTTACTACCTAATTACAGCAAGAGTTTTAAAACATTTTTAAGCTAATGACTTTTAAACACATTCTATAAAGCGGTGTTACCAGCTACAGGGGACTAATAATAACATTCCAGACAGGTGCGACAGGTTTTAAGCACATTGCTTCATCCATAGCAACCCAAGGAATCATAACAATAAACATGTTTATCTCCTGGGTGCCAGCCAATATTGGCTCCCTCTCTCCTCGCCAGGGGCAAAGGTGACAAGTCTTTTTTTTTTTTTCAAATATAAGTGGTTCTGGGTTATAGAAAGTGCTCATAAGAATATAAATGCAGAAAAACTTTAAGATAGGATGGATATCACTGGCTTTTCAGTTCAAAAGATCGCACATTTAATAAAGTACCTCGATAAAGTGTGAAATAGGAAAATTAAACACAACCATACAAAGAACAATTAATAAGCTTACCAAGAGCTGATCTAAAATTCAGTTACTTACTAGATACTGCTCAGAACTAGGATTTAGAACAATCAGATAATTATTTTAGAATACCTTTTACCCAGTAGGTGTAGGATGGGGAATGCGAAAGCCATTAAACGCAGCAGAGGTCAGCCCCAATTATAGGCAAGGGGTTCGTGTCCAATTGCAAAGCTGCTCCAGAAGGCCTCCGAGTATTATTTACTCACTGATAGTGTCGTCCTCCAATAATCTGCAACAGGCTAAGAGGATTTCTGGGGAATCAACCAGGTGAATCTTTTGAATTCCTCAGTCTGGGAATATGGATGGAGAGGCTTATGTTAGGTAGTTTTAGCTACACGACAGAGAGGAAAATGTAATATTAAAAGGAGAGAAGGACTGTAGCAGAAAGCTCTACAACCAGATACCTACCCAGCTCTCTAGCATTCCCCTCTCCATCTCTGAGTTCCCTGCTCCTCAGTTTGGGCTGAAGGTGGAATGTTCTGGATTTATACCCCTGCTCCAACACTCATTCGCTACACCGCAAATTATTTACCTCTCTTTCCCTTGGCTTCTCTGTCTGGAAAGGGGAGAGTACATTCTCAGGGTCATTATGAGGAAACATAAGAAAACTAATATTATTGGTTGTGGACTTGTACAACGGTATTGAATTGGGACTGATAATTGGGTGGGATCTCGGGCAAAACTGAGAATGCTGAGAGAGAGAGTGGAATCAGTCACTAAGAGAAGCAAAGAGGACAGAGCCATGGTGCCCCCAAAGGCTGAAGAAATTGCTTTGGTCCTGAGCAGCTTCCCACAGCCAGTGTCACAAAGCCTGGCTTGCCTGATTCACATGGTCACGGGTGTCCCCAGACTCTCGTAATAATAAAAGAATGATTAGATTAGCACCTGCCACTTAATAAACAAGCAACATCAGCCATTATTTCTGAGTATGTGCTCCTGGCCTAGCTGAGCCACGCCGGAGCCCTATTTCTCCCCTGGGGATGTGGAATTGGGATCAAATTGATTGTTCTGTGTGGCTGGACCAGTAGCAGCAAACCTCAGCATCGTGCTTTGAGACCTACAGAGCAGAGAATGACGATCTCCAAAGGGAGGAATAGACAGCTTCAGTGGGAGGAAGTAAGTCTCACTTGCCTGCCTTTCTATACCCATTTGCTTATTTAAAGGCCACCCTTTGTGCTTAGAATAAATACAACCACCCGCTTTGCCGCCAAGGACCCTAACCAATATACCTATACTAGAAAACAGATGAAATCTGCTTCAGAAAAAAAAAAGAAGAAGAAGGAGCAGACTAAATTCCCTGCTCCTGTCAGAAGAAAAGAGACTACAATATACCAAAAGTGAACAGCCAAGACATTCTCTTTGTCTGCTTAATTAGTGTTGAGAGTCTTTTTGGAAAACTCCGTATCAACCTGTCTCTTCTGATCCAGAGACATATGAAATGAGCTTTATAGCAGAACTTTTGTGTATGTGTTTTTTTTAAAGGCCCATAATACATACTTCAAGGGTGACATGCAATTTCAGGCAGAAGTCTTTAATCAACAGGAGTCTCTCACTTTTAAAGACAAAAGAAAGGCCTGAATAGAATAAGGATTACTTTTTTTTTTCCCTCTAAAGATTTTTCTCAAAGAGAAAACATGGTTTCTATTTTAATGACATTAAATAAGGTTTTAGCTAAGAAGGAAATTTTCTCAGCTTCAGGTATTACTATGAAAGCAAAGACTAGAAATTTTCATCTCCCTCCATCCTTCAGCCCTACCAAATCACTAGCATAGCAATAAAAACACTCCTTTTGCTCTAGACAGAAAGAAAAAGAGGTCTGAGGATCTAGGTCTTGATTCTAGGCTTCTTTAGCCCTGCATCAGTAACTTAACTCCAAGGACCCTGTGAACCAATTCCCTTCAGTTTAGCAATTGTTCAGGCTATGCAGGGTCTCACCCCTAGATGATACTATTTGCATTGAGTTTGTGCCTCATATCAAATTGACTGTACTTCTTGGAAGAATAGTGTGGCAGAATTGAAAAGATAGTCTCAAAACACGGAGCCCAGTGTTGGAGGTTTCAACATTTGGCCTTTTGTGTCAGTAGCCAAGAAGCCGCCTCCATCAGATACCCAGGGGTGTGGATGAAAGGGCACAGGGACAGCAGAACACAGGGCCTCTGTGTGTCACTGGGGCCCCATCAACAGTAGCCCAAGTCTGGAATGTGCTCTGTGCAGTGAGGTGGGCGTACTCCCACACAAATGGCATTCTTGAGAGAGAACCTACCTGGGTTGAAATAAAAAATAATATTTAATAAATCCTGGTCTCCCCACGTGATGGCATTCTTGTACTTCTGGTACAGAGGGTACAGCATGTCCTCCCAAGCCAAGCCTGTCGGAATCATGCTGCTCTGGAAAAGAGAAAACCATCAGTACAGCTGAAGTGCAGCAAGTGCCTCTTGTCTACTGAGAAGCAGGGCGGGGGCACTGGTTTTCTTTCCCTCCAGTAGAGGAGCTGGTCCTGCTCCTCTGGGGCACAGGACAAAGCAAACCCTAGGGCCGTGGGTTGGAGAGTTTCTCTAGCTACACCTATGGATGGATGCTGGATGAAAGGGAATTAGTGGTTGGATCTAGAGGGTTTAAATTTCTTTCCTTAAGCCTCTCCATCCACTCAGAAAACCATGCCCTTAAATAACCCCGGTGTTAAGTTTATTTCTTATTTAGAAAGTGAACAGATATATTACAGGTAGTAAGATTAAGGTACCTTAGGGAAAAACATATTTCCTTGTTTTAAAACAATTATTTAGGGGCTGGGGATTTAGGTCAGCGGCACAGCGCCTGCCTGGCAAGCGCAAGGTCGTGAGTTCGATTCCCAGTACCGAGAAAAAAACCAAACCAAACAAACAAATAAAACCCAATTATTTACTTTTCAAATAAAAGTGACTCATTCATAGACTAAGTATTCAATCAGTATATAAACATAACAAATTACAAAGCAAAAATATTTCTTCCTTCATATTCCTCTAAATCTCATTTGCAATTTCCCCAGAATCATCTACAATGAACAATTAATTGTCTTGTAGGTACTCCTTTGGAGATTTCTATGACACAAAAGTGAAAACATTACTGCATTATATGCTTGCTGTTTTTTTGAGACAAGATCTCACTATGTAGCTCAAGCTGGCCTTACACTTATGATCCTCCTGTCTCAGCCTTCCAACTGCTGGGATTACAGTTGTGTGACTTTCTCACTTAAAATATTTTTGAGGTCTTATTACCTCATTTATAGATTAACATATTCATCTTTATTTATTTATTTATTTTTTTGTATTGTTACAGATCAAACCCAGGGCCCTGCATAGTCTAGTCAAGTGTTCTACCACTGAGCCATGGCTAACTACCTCTTTTTAAAATGAGGGTATTTTTTTTGACTGGTACTGTACTGATGTTCCTTTAGGTTCTTCCTGTTTCTCTGCTAGAGTAAAAGATGAGACCACGAATACCCTTGTATAAATATCTCTGTGTGCTTATATAAATACACTTCTAAAGTACTTCCAAGAAATTTTTCATGGTCTTTGAAACCTTAGATACGCACAGAGTTGAAACATTTTGGAATTCAGAAATGCCACGTAATATTCCTAAATGGTAACTCTCCAGAGGCTTTAAATTCCACAGCCATCTGGGCTTTTCCTGAAGAAATGAATATTCTGTAACTCTGCAAATGTTGTTCCGTGGGTCCTCGCCTCCTCCCATACAGATCCCTACTGTATTCTCCAAATCTACACACATCAACACTCTAGCCATATCCCTGTTGAAAGGCCTTAGGCAAGGAACTTTAAAGCATTTCATTACCTTGAACTGGGTGCTTCTTATTCGAGTTAAATTCATTAACATGACTCCCGAGTTAACTCCTGCAGAGCCATAGAAAGGATGCCGGGCAAAGCGGCTGTACCAGCCAATCTTCGGGATCTCATGCTCAGGAGCCATGGCAGCAAGCTGTGTAGAATTAAACTGCCTCAAAAGCTTCCAGATGTCATCGACAGGCCTCAGAAAGAGAACATCGGTGTCCACGTAGAGGAGGGAGTCCACATCCTTCAGAATCACCTTGGTGTGCAAGGGGCAGGGACAAAGTACAAAACAGGTCAGAAACAAAGGAACTGGTCCGATATGAAAATAATGCTACCAATTTTTAATGATTAAGGTTGAATCCTAGAACAGAAGCCATTCTTAGCTCCCATTCTTCCTTCTTTTGACCTAAGGGATAAGTGTCAATCAAAAAATACAGACTTTAAGTGAACCTTTATCTAAACTGGGCCAATCCCAGGACCCTGGACTATACTTGATAAGGTCAAACGTCCAAAGGGATAGGAAGAGTGATGGATTGCAACTCCGCTCTTTTGTTCCACTTTGGGAACTGTAGTAAAATAAAATTTTTGTTGTTTAAGCCATCCTGCCTATTGTATTTTATTATGGCAAGCTGAATGAAAGGCTTTCTCTTTTGGCTCATCTTTGGAACGGCCAGACATTAGAAAATTTGAAGCGGACTCTCTCTGAACCAGTTTACATTGGGCTGGGTGGTAGAGTATCTACTTCTAGTGTTGATGGGTATGGGCTTTGCATCTATCTAAAGTGGTATTTTTAGCTAAAATTTGGACTTGAGAATAGGCAAAGTAAGCCACTGGCCAGCTTTGTTTATAGATGAGAGATTGGCAAACTTTTTCCTGTAAAGGGCCAGACAGTAAATATTTTCAGCTCTGATGGAATCACTGGACTCCGCCACTGTGGTGTGCAAGCAGCGCTGACGACACGTAAATGAGTGAGTGGCTTGGTTCCAACACACTGCCCTCAGGGACACTGAAATGTGAATTTCATATCATTTGCAGATGTCACAAAATACTCTTGATTTTTTGCCAGCTACTTGAAATGTAAAAGGCATTCCTTCCTCACAGGCTTTAGTTTGCCAGTCAGGCTGTTCCAGAGCACTTCTGCCAGCATGCCTAAGAGGCGGGTTCCCCGCTAACTGCAGGGTTTCCATGGCTTTGCCGAGTGTCTGACACTGCAAAAGCTGAGTTAGTAATAATGTTCTTCACCTTGTTTTGCCTTTGTTTCCCAAACTTAGGAGTAGTTTCACTAAGGAAAAAACTGAATCTTCCTGGGGCCTGGTCTCACATCCTGCTGACACTGCAACAACACACGTTAGGAACTGTTTGTCTTACCCCCAAATTCGTGTGAAGTCCTGACTCCTAAGGTGCGCATTTGGATGTGGGGCCTTTGGAAGACAATTAGGCTGGGGTGGGGTTACGTGGATGGGGCCCCCAAGATGCTATTTGTGCCTTGTTAGAAGAGGCACCAAGAGCTTGTTCCCGTTCTCTGTGCCACGTGAGGTCACAGAAGGGGCAGCCATGTGCAAGCTTGTTCGCGAACCCTTCCCTGGACCCAATCCAGCTGGCACCTAGATCTCAGCCCTACATGATTAGCTAGAGGGTTTAAATTTCTTTCCTTAGCTACTACAGGAATGGATTTTACAAATCAATAAAATTAAAAGTAATGACTATCAAGCATTTCAGAAAAGAAAATCATCTTTTTTTTCTCTCCTGGTGGTGATACTGAGGATTGAATCAAGGGCCTCTGCACTGAGGTACACACACCCCCAGCCCTTTTAAAAATTTTTTACTTTGAGGCAGGGTCTCACTAAACTGTGGAAGCTGAGTTGAACTTTTTTTTTGGTGGTGGTGGGGGTTTGAGTTTTTTTCCGGTACCAGGAATCGAACTCACGACCTTGCACTTGCCAGGCAGGTGCTGTGCCGCTGGGCTAAATCCCCAGGCCCTGAACTTTGTAATTCTTCTGCTTCGCCCCTTCCCCACCCCACATCAAGTGCTGGGATTATAGGCATGTTCCACTACACTCAGCTAAGAAAATCATCTCAACGTCTGTTTTAACAACTCAAAGATCTTAATTTCAGAATTGGAATGAATTCTTTAATTGAACACATAAACATTTTAAAAAATCTACCACATTCTATTTTTTTTTTTAACCTTGTCATGGAAAGGTAAAAGCTTTGTGAAAAAATCAGAGTCAAACGTACTTGTAATTGTTTCTGCATCCTGTTCCACTGATCCACATGATATAGGGGGGGAAATGTAACTCGCAGCCTGCTCGATGTCAGACACACTGACAGCATGTTCCCTGAACTCAAAGAATGAATTCTAGGGAACAAAGGAGGTCAAGAGTAGGAAAATTTATTGGGAAATAAAAACAGCTCCTGAGAGATGGGAGGGTTCTGACAGGGCTGCCAATGAGCCCTCTTCTCTGAGAAAGTTTTACAGAGCAAAATCATGAGGTGGTTACAACATGGCTCAAAACTATATTCAACCAGTAGGATTACAAGTATAACCGCTTGGCTTATATTGATCCAGCAGTAGCAAGGGCATATGGATGACCTCATTAACCTTGGTGAATAATCTAGTCTTGTCTTTTGTCTTAGTTATTTTGTTTGTTTTGTTTTTTTGAGATAGGGTCTCGTTATGTAGTGGCCTTGAACTCACTACGTATCCCAGGCTGACTGGAATTCATGGAGATTCTCCTGCTTCAGCCCAAGTGCTGGGATTACAGGCAGGTGCCACCACGCCTGACTAGTTTTAGTTTTAGTAGTCTCAGTCTTAGTGAATGGGAGAGGATGGCCCATCTCTAAAGAGACAATGGGGGCTGGGGATTTAGATCAGTGGCAGAGTGCCTGCCTGACAAGCGCAAGGTTGTGAGTTCGGTTCCTGGTACCGGAGAAAAACAAAAAACAAAACAAAAAAAAACAAAAACAAGAGACAATGGCTTGCTTATATGGGAATGGTCAAAAGAGTGGTACCAATAATCCCAAACTTTCATTTATCCCTTAAGGAAGTATGTAAATCTGGCCACTGTCATTTTAATCTTCTGCAGATGTGCCTCCAGCCACATTTTTTATATATTCTCATCTTTTGCACTGACTTCCTCCAGGACCTAGCCCTGTTCTATCTAACCTAACTGTCTACAGTACTCATGTCTGTTTTTGTGCCTGTACCCTGATGTTTTTATCACTGTAGCTTTCTAATATAACTTCAAGTCCAGGACTGTGATGCCTCCCATTTTATTTTGTTGCCCAGGATTGCTCTTGCTATTCTGGGTCTCTTCTGGTTTCTTATGAATTTTAGGATTGTTTTCTCCACTTCTGTGAAGAATGCTGTTGGAATTTTGATTGAGATTGCATTAAGTATGTTCATCAGTGTTGGAAGTATGGCCATTTTTTACTTTCTTCCACCTATCCAGAAACAGGGGCTATCTTTCCATTAACTGATGTCCTCTCCAATTTCTGTTTCATAGTAGTGTAGTTTCCACTGTAGAGGTCTTTCACTTCCTTAGTTAGGCCTTTTCCCCCCATTTAATATGATGTTGGTACTAGGTTTGTCATAAACAGCTTTAATTAGATTGAATTAAAGGGAAATTTTTTTTTGTCTTTTTTTTGAGATGGGGGTCTCACTATGCAGTTCAGGCAGGCCTTGAGCTCACTTTGTAGCCCAGGCTGGTCTCAAACTCGCAACGATCCTCCTGCCTCAGCCTCCTGAGTGCTGGGATTACAGGTGTGCGCCACCACGCCCAGAGCCTGGATAAGATAGAAGAAGTTGTTAAGATTCCTTGTTTGCTTTGCTACCTTCTGTCTGCCATGAACTGGTTCTCCTCTGTGATTCCCCTCTGCCACACCACCACACTGCCTTGGAGCCAGCTGATTATGGGCTGAAACCTGTACAAACTATGAGCTAAATAAACCTTTCCCCCTTTAACTGTGGGCATCAGGTATTTTGTCATAGCAATGAAAGAAAAATAAGATACCCTCCCTCCATCTCTTGCTCTCCTTCACCTTTGAGAAAGATCTTCATTCTTCCTATCATCCATCTTTTATTTTGTTCCTTATTTATAATGTTGGTTTCTTACATAGAAAAACCATGCAATATTTAAGCTTGTGTGTCTGATTTATTTCACTTAATGTTATGGTCTCATGGTTCAGTGTTTTCCTACAAATGACTTAAGTTTATCTTTCTTGATGTCAGAGTGGTACTCCATGGTGTGTAAATACCGCATTTGATTTTCTGTTCATCTGTTAATGGCCATATAGCTGGTTGGTTTTTTTTTTGTTGTTTTTTGTTTTGTTTTGTTTTTGTCTTTTTTGAGGCAGGGTCTTGCTACACAGTTCAGGCTGGCCTTGAGCTCAATTTGTAGCCCAGGCAGGTCTCAAACTCGCAACAATCCTCCTGCCTCAGCCTCCCGAGTGCTGGGATTATAGGTGTGCGCCACCATGCCCAGCTATTTTTTTTTTTTTTTTTGTCTTTTTGAGACAGGGTCTCCATATACCTGTTTTTAAGAATTAACTATATGAATTGTGCTGCTATAAACATGGGTATGGGTGTATCACTGTAATATATTGTCTTTTACTCTTTCAGGAAGATGCCCAGAATATAGCTGAGTGTAAAAATATAATTACTGAGCCAAAAATGATGAAAAACATGATATAAAAATACAATTACCAAGTCCCAGAATAGGTGCATTTGTGAATTTAACGGGTAGAGTCAAACCCCCTCCCCAGAGGGGCACCCACAAGGGCTTTCCCCAGCAATGGAAGGGAGAGCCTCTGACCCACTGCCTTCACCAGTGCAGGGAGTGCCCACGCTCCAGTGTCCGCTAACACAGAGGCGCACCTCAGAGGGTCCTGGCCTGGACTGGCTCCAGCTAACTCCTGGCGGTCTTGTCCTGGCAGCCTGTCTGCAGCATGGGTGCGGTGGCACAAGGCTGGCAGACAAGCGATAAGCACTGACCCTGGAACAACAGCCCCGGCTCCTTCAGGAGGGCAACACACAGCCCCAGAAACCCAAGCCTCACGGACGGAAGCCTGCTCACCACCTCTCTAGAACTGCTCCTACTCTGGCAACTTTGGATTCAGGAGACATGCTTTTACAGAGGGATAAGGAAGAAAAACTTCAAGGCTACAGCTTTTAGAAAACCTGCAAGTCTTCATGTAAGGTGGTGTGAAGGTTGCCACGTGGTTTGTCTCCCCGCAAACTCCTGTTGAAAGCTGGTC